TGGGAGGGCAGGGCAGCCCTGGCATCATCTCGGCGTTCTTTGCGCAAAGAACCAGGAAGCGGCTTCTGCAGGGGGCCCATTAGAGCCCCGCCCCCCCCCCCACCTGAAATGGGGTTGCAGAAAGCCACGCTGCGCCTGTCGCCCGGGAGACCCTCGGCCCCTTCCTGGAATCCGAATTTCCGAGCAGGCAACTTGGTTACTGACAGGCGGAGGTGACAGTTTTATGGGCTTGGAAGGCCGGCCGGTTCAGCCTTGCGGTGATTAAAATTCCCTTCCTGGCGGTGGAGGAATGGCCCGTTTCCTGAGCGGCCGTGGAGGGAAGCGGGCAGCGGGCATGGCTGGCAGGTGGAGACCCGCTCGGTTCGTGGTCCTTCTGTGCCTCCCTCGCAAGGCCGGCCTCAGGGGCTCCCCAGAGCCCCCAAAGCGGCTGGCACGGTTGAGGGAGCGCCAGGATCACTCCTGGCACGGGGCAGTGCTGGGAGGCAGCATTTCTGGGCAGAGAGGCGCCCACTTGACCGGGGGGAGGGGGGTTGGGCTAGAAGACCTCTAAGGTCCCTTCCAGCTCTGTCATTCTGTTACTATTAGTATCCCAAGGCCATTGGGGCAATGTGAGACTTGGTCCATGCGTCTGAAGGTGGTGGAGAGAGGACCTCGCACTGACCGCATCTGGTTCTGTCATTCTCGTATCCCAAGAGCCACTGAGGACTGACCCCCCCCCTTTTAAAAGCCAGGGAAGAGAGTGACCCAGTTAGGGCTGGGGGGGGGGAGCAGAGGGACGTTCCTAGCCAGAGGCGCCCGATGGGTCCGGCTTCCTCAGCATCTTTTTTAGTGATTTGGGTGGGGGGGAAGATGGAAGAACCGCTTATCAGGCTTGGGACTGACGCAAGAGAGAGAGAGAGAGGGAGGGAGAGGGAGCGATTGTATTATTTTTGAAATAGTTAATTACACGCTGAATGCGGGTTAGCAGTGTAATGTAACTGCAAAAAATATATATATATGCAGTTTTAAACTGCATTAGCGCAAAAACAGTTCCTGTCCAGCGGAAGTTGGCAGAGGCTCTAATTGGGGCTCTTGCCCCGATGATCCAAACGCCACCGTCCGGTAGGGGTTACGCCCGCCCTGTTCCGCATTCCCAGCTTTTGCAGCTCGTGGCTGGCTGTGGCTCCCAAGTTGTCCAACGTTGGTCACCTGAAGACCTACGGACTTTAACTCCCAGAATTCCCTAGCCAGCTGGCCAGGGAATTCTGGGAGTTGAAGTCTGCAAGGCTTACATTGGCCTAGCTTGGACATCCCTGCTGTGAAGGCAAGCGGGGCCCGGCTTTGCTACTCCGAGGGTGGGGGAGTCCTAGGAGGTCGGAAAACGTCCTGGAGGAGGGAACCCTTCCTGTGTGGCTTCAGGGAAGATGCCACGGAGGGTTCAAACGACCTGGGCATGGAGGTGTGGATTGCCTTGGCTGGGCCAGCGTGTCCTGTGTCCAGCCTGGGCACCACCATCAAAGACGGGTTCAGTTAGGAGCCGGTTTGGTGAAGGGCCACGTGGATGATCCAGGGAGGAGAAAGCCCTCTGAAATGGCTGGGAGGGCCCCATTCAGGCCCCTGGGAGACTGGCAGAATAGGAGAGAACGACAGAGTTGGAAGGGCCCTTGGAGGTCTTCTAGTCCAGCCCCCTGCTTAGGCAGGAAACCCTACACCTCTTCAGACAAACAGTTATCCAGCCTCTTCTTAAAAGCCTCCAGTGTTGGAGCCCCCACAACCTCTCAAGGCAAGTGGTTCCCCTGGGTAATTGTCCTCCCTGGCAGGAAATTCCTCCTCAGCTCCAGGGTGCTTCTCTCCTTGATTATTTTGCGCCCCTGTTGCTTCTTGTTCCGCCCTCAGGTGCCTCGGAGAACAGCCTGGCTCCCTTTTCTTTGGGGCGGCCCTTGAGGCACCAGAAGACGGCCCTCGTGTCCGTCCCCCCCCCCCAGTCCCCCTGTTCATTCATCTGTGAGTGCGAATGCAGGGACTGCAATGGCAGTGGAAGATACCAGAGGAGGCGGGTTCCCCTCCAGAGCCAGAACCTGCCCGGCAGAGGCCTTCAGTAGGTCCTTGCCCTGAGGGAGGGTCAGCCGTGATGACCTCAAGGGTGACCCTGCTGCACAGTTCCCTCGGCCCAGGGAGCTGCAGGGATCCCTCGATTTACGACCACCATTCAGCCCAAAATTTCTTTTTGTTGTTCAGCGAGTTTTGCCCCATTTTGCAGCCTTTCTTGCCACAGTTGTTAAGCGAATCACCTGGTTTCCCCGTTGACTTTGCTCATCAGAAGGTGGGCCAGGGGGGTCTCGTGGCCCCTTTGCCAGGCAGGGCTCGGCTGCTGCCCACTCAGGGTCCCCTCCTTGTGCCCCTCCCTCAGGTACGATCCGTACAGCAAGGCCTTCTCCCGGGAGCTCTACGCCCACCAGCGCATGCAGGAGTCGCGGAAGGCAGCCATCCGCCAAGCGGCCGGTGCCCACAAGTGGGGCCTCATCCTGGGCACCCTGGGGCGGCAGGGGTCTCCGGCCATCCTGCAGGTGAGTCCTCTGGCCGGGCCTTGCAGCCCAGGAGGCCCCCCCCGCTCGGCTGCTGCTGCCTGTGCCAGTTGCCCACGGGGGTTGGGGAGAAGCCCCTTTTGGCCTCCTCTGCAGGGGGGAGGCTGACTCCTGCCCTGGAAGACCCCCGAGGGGCTGCAAGTGCAGCTTGGGCTTTCAGGAGACCCCAGCTGGTTCTGTGCAGGAGGAGTGGAGGGGAAGGGGCTCCCCGCCCCCTCCTGCTCTCCCAACTTCTTTTGGGGGGAGCCTTCGTGGGAATCCCTCCTTCCGTTTCGGAGACGTTCACCAAACAGCTGGCGAGTGGACCCCCCCCCCACTCCGGAGCTCCTTGACCAAGGAGGAGGCGACGGGGGTCCCCAGAGTAAGCCCCTCCCCTCTTTGGCAGCACCTGGAGTCGAGCCTGGAGGCAGCGGGGCGTCCCTACATCCGGCTCCTCCTCTCTGAGATCTTCCCCAGCAAATTGCAGCTGTTTCCAGATGTTGAGGCGTGAGTACTGGGAGACCCTTCCCCAGCATGCTGGGCTGTGGGCCGTCCCCACCTCTTCCACCTTCTGGCTGGGTGGGTGGGTGTCAGGCAGGGACTGGAGAATCCCAGGCTTTTGGGGTGGGGGTCTTTGCTTTCTTCAATACAGTGGGGTCGCTTTGGCTCCCTGTCCCGGTCCATGGGGGGCCCTCCTGAAGTGGGGGCTGGGACTGGACCAAGCCTGCCCCTCAGGGGAAAGAGCTGGGCGTCCCACCCACTCCCCATTTTCTCTCTCCCCGCAGCTGGGTGCAGGTGGCGTGCCCCCGCCTCTCCATCGACTGGGGGGTGGCCTTTGAAAAGCCGCTGCTGACGCCCTATGAGGTAAGGGGGATGGGCGTGGCGGTTGAGGGAAGGAGAGGGCTGGGGGGGGGAATCGGGAAGGATAGCCAGGGACCCCTCCCCCCCAAAACGGGACACTCAGTGGCGAGATGCAATTCATATGGGGGAGGGTGGGGGGCAGACATCCAGCCTCTTCTGGCCCCCAGGAGTGGGAGGCTGAGGCCAGGACCCTGATTGCTCCAATCCATCCCCTCCCAGGCTGCGGTGGCTCTGCAGCAGATCAAATGGCAGGAGATCTACCCCATGGACTTCTACGCCGGTCAGCCTCTGGGACCATGGACGGTGAATCACCCCAGCCACCGGCCCCAGAAAGCGGGCAGGACCAAAGAGGTAAGCTCCGGTCTGGCACCCATTCGGATAAGGGGGCCTGGGCCCGCAGCCCCCCCCTGGAGTTCAAAGGGCCCTCCCGGCTCAAAGACCGGGGGGGGGGGGGAATCTCACCTCTGCAAAGGAGGTGCCCACTTCTTGTGGCAGGCTGTTCCATG